AGCGAGGGTGGGCGCGGGTGGGCGCGCGGGTGGACGTGGGGATGCGGAGCTGCCCGCGGAGCTGCCCCGGGAATGCGGAGTTTCATGAGCTGCTACTCCGGGGATGTGGAGCTCCGTCAACTGCAGCTCCGGAGATGCGGAGCTGCGTGCGGAGCTTCCCCGGGAATGCAGAGTTGCGCGCGGAGCTGCTCCGGGAATGCAGAGTTGCGCGCGGAGCTACTCCGGAGATGCGGAGCTGCCCGCGGAGCTTTTCCGGGGATGCAGAGTTGCACGCAGAGCTGCCCCGGAGATGCGGAGCTCTGTGCGGAGCTGCCCCGGGGATGTGGAGTTTCATCAGCTGCTGTTCCAGGAATGCAGAGCTCCATGAGCTGCTGCTCTGGGGATGTGGAGCTCCATGAGCTGCTGCTCTGGAGATGCGGAGCTCCATGTGGAGCTGCCCGGGGATGCGGAGCACAGTCTCCACATAGAGCTCGTGTGTCCTCACGATGCTGGTGACTGGCAGAAGGGACGTGGTGCTTCTGCCCTGCAGTTCACCTTATCCCGAGGCACCGTCGGACTTGGGCTTGGGCCGCTCCAGTGGGATGCAGTGAATTCTGCACATCCTGCTCGCAGGGCCTGAGAAGGGGCAGCAGGTAAAAGGTGCCGGCTCCAGCACTGCGACAGTAGATAGTGGTTTAGGTACCTACCTCCGCTGACTTTCCTTGGGAGATCAGCTCCTACCTGAAGGGCTTTGCAAAGAGAGATTATTAACTCTGAAATTAATCAAAGAAACCCTTTCTCCACAGAGCCCACTGTGCAGAATTCCGGCAGTGACATCGTTCATCCCATAAAGGTTGACGAGAGTGGATCGTTCCTGTCCTATGATTTATCTCACCGAGCAATTCATAGAAGGTCTCTTTCCTCCGGAAACAATTTTCTTGCCTTTTATGAGCTGCATTACAAAGGACAAGCCCTGAAATTCAACTTGAGCCTCAACAGCAACCTCCTGGCGCCGGGGTTTGTGAGCGAGCGGCGGTTCGGGGGCGTCGCGCGCGCCGAGATCCGGCCGCGCGGCTCCGACTCCTGCCACATGATCGGGGAGGTGCGGGGCCGGGCGCCGAGACGCGGCCTGGCGGCGCTCAGCACGTGCGACGGACTGGTAGGTGCTGCGGGTTTGACATAACAACCGAAGAGCAGAAATGGTGGGAAATGTTTCTCTTGAAAGCAATGGCAAAACTTACATTTCTCCCCTAATTCCTGAAGAAAGCAGTTCTCATATCTCTTCTGTCTTGTAGCGTGGAAGTGTAGGATTATGCGAGACACATTTGAAAAGGTCTTCAAAGGCTAAAGGTATTTATGATAAAGGAGTTCATTTGTAATGGAAAACTTACTAGTGTTTTGTGAGCACCTAAGCTCCATGTTAGCAGCAAAAAAATGCAAACTTGTGGTGAGGACAAACTAGATGTGGGCATAAAGGGAAAGGTGCCTTTTCTGGTGGGAACACAGGAAATCCATACTTTGAGCCAGTGCTTCCTTTACTTGTTAGAACAGATTATCAGCTACTCACCTCTGCTGAGATTAGCCAAGAAAAGTTGGTGATTAAAGTGTTCCCAAGTGATTTAGGAGCAAAGTCATGTCCTCAATGTGATCCTGACATTTAAAAGTGTAAGTCTTGCTGAAAGCCAAAGTCACTTTCCCAAGTAATACCGTTGTTATCGATACTCCACAAGGCAAAGTTTTGCTTTCAGCCTAAATATGCAATATGCATTTGCTTGCTTCTAGCTCACATGGGTACCAAGACACCCCAGAGGTTAAAATCATTTAAACATTTGCAAAAATGTCATCACAGAACCTGGAGGACCTGGCCCTCTGGGCAGGGTCTGTGTGTGTGGGATTCCAGGGATCTGCGGCTCTGCACCTGGTGCCTCCACTTCACCTATGGGGCTGTATTTGCATTTTAAGCTGCATGAGGAAACACAGGACGAGCCTGTACAGGGATTTAAATCCACCATGGGCTGATTCAGAGCTCTGCAAAGGCCACACAGCTCCTTGCTCGTGGCTGGGAAGTGCAGAACTGAGCAACCCGAGTTTCAGCAGGCGCCGGCCTTGTGCGCTGAGGAGCAGGGGTGAGTGTTGCTGCCGCCTTTTCACGGCCAGAAGCAGCTGTACCTGCACAAGAGGCACCTACAGAACGCTGCAGACGGCAGCATCCTTCCCTAGCTGACCGGCTGGCTCCCTGCAACAAGCAAGAAAGTTTCTCCCGCTCAGAAACTCTGTCCTTGGGACGAATCCAGAAGCCAAGAAGCTACAAGAAGAGTGGTGAGACCTTCACCATCCATGGTGGGGAGGTGGAGGGGCCAAGGCCGTGCACCCACAGCTGTTCTGCTTCGCCAGATCTGATGTGGGATTTCACATTCAAGAAGTCGGCAGAGATGGAGCGAGCCTGCGAGAGACGTTCCAAGTGTCCAGTGGCCAAGGCAGAGGCCAAGGAGAGGTGGCTCCGTCAGGGTGGCGCAGAGAAGGTCGTGCAAAATGCTGGGCATCCTGGAGGGTGTTGACTTTTCTCTTTTCCTACGGAATTTAGCAGCATCTGAGGTGCTCATCGCCTCCCTGTACTTCACAGCTCATTGACCAGTTGGGCTGGGTCTTCGCATTTGCACTTTTGCCCTCAGTTCTGCAAGTTGGACTCCCACCAGGAGGAAGCAGCCAAGGAGAGGCCGCAGAGCTCGGGAAGGGAGAGAGGAGCTTGGCCTGCGGCTGGGAGCCCCGATCCAAGCTCCGACACCGCCTTTGCACTGGCTTCCTCTGCGGCTCTGGGCAGCTTCCCCATCTAGCAAGCTGGGACAGTAATAACTCACATCTTCAGAGGGATAAATGCTGCAGAAAATAGCCAGGCCCATTCATTCGGGTAAAAAATAGGCTAATGCATCTGGGAGGAAACCACGACCTTTTGATTCCCGTTTTTGTGAATGTTTGTACGAGAGCTACATTGATTGCTGTAATGTACACAGGAATAGAAAGTGTTGTGAACGCTGCTGCAAATGCATCTGCACACGGACGCTCTCGGAGCACACGGGAATGTTTGCAGGGAGCTGGAACACTAGTGGCTGTGGCTTCGAAAATCAGTGCGACAGTGCGAGTCAGGCCAAAATCCACTCCCTGTAATGAACAGGCTGAGGTATGGCCACATGGGGCAATCTGAAATACACACTAGGAACTAATTAACACAGTTGAATATCTCCTTCTAAATTAAACTCAAGTAGTAGAACAAGAAAAAAGATACTTATTAAACAATTCATTGTCCGCATAATATTCTTCCCAGCCCTTTTTGTAGTAGTGTTTGGAGAACTACATAGCTCGTATTCGTGAAGTATATTGAGAAGTAAAAATAAAATGTGAATGCTGAGGATTAGTATTATTTATAAAGAGGCAAGAGAATTTGCCAGCTCATAGAAGCTGTCACAGGAGTGGCATGAGGTGGCCCTGCCACCCGCTGCGCTCCATGGGCTGGGAATTGTTTTAAGCCTTCTCCACTCAGTCTTCAAAGAAGGATCTTTTATCAGTCACACACTAAACTACTGAAAACTGCACCAACATTGTGGTGTCTGTCTTGCATAATTATGGAAAGTAGTGTGTATTCCTGCAGTATTGCTCCATTACAGTGAATTAATCACATACCACTTGGAGCCATGCCAAGTATTTAAGAGTGTAAACAGGAAATATGTTACTATTCTGTGAGAGAATTCTGTGATTCTATAGGGTTTGTAAGAATATTACATGTATACGTGATGGTCGTACCATGTGTTTCAAGCCCAAGGTTGCTTTCTTAACAGCGCTTTGCAATCCCAGCTCGTCATGCAATGATGCCTTGACCGCAAATTCCTGCTAAGGACAACATGGAGTGTTGACATTCAGCACGTTAGCGCCTCGGAGAGCCCCGTTCCGCTGCGGCCGTCGCTCCGCACAGCACCTGGCCCAGCGCTCGGCCACGGTGCGGACGGGCTGCCGCGAAGCAAGTGATGGTAGGGAACAGCCGGAGCCGCGTTACAGCCAACGGGGCTGCGTTACAGCGCATGGAGCCGCGTTACAGCACATGGAGCTGCATTACAGCTCACGAAGCCACGTTACAGCCCATGGAGCCGCGTTACAGCACGTGGAGCCGCGTTACAGCTCACGGAGCCACGTTACAGCCCATGGAGACACGTTACAGCCTATGGAGCTGCACTACAGTGCACGGAACCGCGTTACAGCCATTTGAGCCGTATTACAGCCCGTGGAGCCACGTTACAGCTCACGGAACCACATTACATCACATGGAACCACATTACAGCACGTGGAGCCGCGTTACAGCACGTGGAGCCGCGTTACAGCATGTGGAGCTGCATTACAGCACGTGGAGCTGCATTACAGCTCACGGAGCCACATTACAGCCCATGGAGTCGCGTTACAGCCCACGGAGCCACGTTACAGCCCATGGAGCCACGTTACAGCACATGGAGCCTCATCACAGCCCGTGGCGCCGCATTACAGCCTGTGGAGCCCCGTTACAGTGCATGGAACCCCATTACGGTGTGTGGAGCCACGTTACAGCACAACATGCGCCTACAAAACACCGCCAAGGGCAGCATCCTTCCCTAGCTGAACGGCCTGCAACAAGCAAGACAGTTTCTGCAGCTCAGAAGCTCTGCCCTTTCGAGGAACTCCCAGCAGGCGAGCGCCAGCGTTTCCAAATAGCTGTTTGTGCTTGAGCTGCGGCCTGGAGCCCTGGGTGACTCCGTAACACAGCGTTGCAGTTGGGCCAGGGGTCAGAGAGCTCATAATTAACCAAAGAAAGTTTTAGTATTTCATTTCCTGCCCCTGCTGAAGGAAAGATGATAATAGCACAGCCTCTCTCGGCTGCATTGCTCCTCACCCTGATGCTGCTTTCCCTTGATTCGAACCCTAAGCATTCTATGATTCTATGATTCTATGAGCTCCTGCTGCGATCCAGTGCTCCTCCAGATCCCTCCTTCCTAGGGGTTTTCCAAGGTTTGGCTGTAGGAATTCTGTAGCTTAGTGGCTCAGAATGGTGCTGCTTGTTAAAAAAACAAAGGCCAGAAGCAACGGGCTTCAT